TTCGACAAATTCAAACACATTATAGTACGAAGGATTAGGTAGTAATTAGGATGTTTAGGAAGTGCGGGTAGGTAATATTTTGGGCTTATTAGCTTTATGAGACAATTTTTTACAAAACAATTTTTTTAAAAAAAAAAACTGAATTGCCTGAATTTGCTAGAGGACTATTTTAGCCCAAAAAAAATCATACCATCGTTTCTTTCTTTTATTAACAAGATGTATTTTATTTATAAATTCTTACTCCCTCCGTCCCGCTAGAAGGTTCTTGTTGACGGTTAACGATATTTGACTGACGATAAAACAACTTAATCCTTGTTAACACTGATTATTTTTAGTAAATAAAATTTACATATTCAGAAACTACATTAAATCCGCTACAAAGTCTGATAAAAAATGTAAATTTCATAAAAATTTGATGTTTAAAGTAAAAGATTAAAAATGATTTAAGTTGACCATGTGAAAAGTGGACGTGAACCTTCTAATGGGACGGATGTAGTCTAATTTAGTAATTTCAATCAATTCAGATGTTTCATAAAAATAATTTGCAGGCTTGCGGCCATTATAAGACAAACAATGCTTGCCATTGTCTTATCTAAGTATTTGATTTAATTTGTTCCCATATTTGAACTTGTCGTTTGGCCACATCCACAGACCACAATGAGCTGCACACCCGAAATATAATATCAAGCGAAAAAAAATAATACTCCATAACACTTACCCAAAGGTTATCAAATGGGACAATATTACAAACCTCAACAAAGTGACCAAGTATATAAACAGCTCAAAAGAAATAAAGAAATAATACAAAGATTTACATGGAAATCCCAAAACGGGGAGAAAACCATGGGACTAGAAGCCGACACCAAAACCTTCCACTTATCGCCAGTGAAAATAAGTGGGTACATGATTTGTCTTCTCTACACAACGTTCAGTCACATATAAGCATCAAGGGTCATGAAATCCCAATATAGAAACAACAATCCACCATACTTATCACTCATAAGTTGTAACAATAATATACTTCGAAAGTATACTTGAACATGAAATCCCAAAATAGAAACCTTCAAACGAGAATGTTGGATATGAATATTGGGAGATGAGGAGCAACAGAAGATTTTCTGTGATTGCAAGGTATTGGTGAAGAGGGGATCATAATGGGAACATTGTGCATGAGGTTTTTCTCTTGAGATTTGATGTACTGTTGGTGCATTGTATCGAGACTCTTCATGATATTATTATAATGATGAAGTAGTGTGTGCCGTTAGTAGATAACAACGATTGTGGATCAATTATCGCTAGGGAGTAGACCATGATCATGCCTTGGTGGTTGCTCATATGATGTGATACAAGATTTGTTTGTAGGAGAGCAACTCACATTTTTTGTGGAAACTAATGAGCCTTAACGTTAGGTTGTTATTGGTGGGTGATCGCTACTTCTCAATTAAGTCGGTGGGGAATTGTTGTAGTCCCTCCTTAATTAGGAAGGTTAAGAGAATTCTAGAATATTATGGAGATATTACGATGATACGAGAATTGAAATTGTTAGCCGCTATCGGAACCCCGATTACCTTGATGAGAAACTCTAGTCATTCTAGATCTGAATTCCAAAATGATGAAGAAAACATTATACTCCGTACTATCTTTGCCCATCAATGCCTTTTGCCGACCTCGTACTCACTATCTTCATTTGACCGTCACTATCTTCATTTGACCGTCATCGTCGTACGCCATTCATATTGGGTTTAATGCACCAAACCCCTCTGTGATATGAAAATTTGGCGCATTAGCCCCTTGTGATTTAGAAAATGCGTCAAACCCCCTGTGTTTTAATTAATTATGCGCATAATCCCTTTTATGAACAAATCCAATTGTCAAATACAAGAAAAATGATTAGCATTTATGTATGATTTAGAGATTTTGACATATTTACTTGCATATTCGATCAGAATATTAGGAAAAATGATTTCCAAATCGTTAAATTTATTCATAAAGGGGTTCTGTGCATGATTAATTAAAACACAAGGGGGTTTGACGCATTTTTCAAATCACATTGGGCTAATGCGCTGAATTTCTATATCACGAGGGAGTTTGGTGCATTAAACCCCATTCATATTCCATCGATTGCCATTGTTGTATGCCGACTTCCTCGCTGCTACAGCCTCGCCATATTAGAACAGAGGTGAAGCGGCTGCAACTGTTTCAGGAGGAAGGCAGCGATGAGGTGAATGAGGGGAAGTGGCGATAAAGTGAAGGAGGGGAGACGGCGTACATGAGGCTAGACGAGTAGAGAGAGAAATTGCAGATTAGCCAATGGCGAGAGCGAGAGAGTTTAGATATTTTTTATAGTAGTCACATTTCGGTCCTTCTAGATAAATTTAGTTTATTTTTGTCCATATTAAAATTAAGTCTATTTTTTTGTCTATTCAAAAGCTTCTAGTTTTACTTTTTTTATTACTTCATTTCTTTTTGTGGGAACATAGGGCATATCCATGTCACTATGCTGAAAAGTGAAAAGGGGGTTAGGCATCCATGTGCATATCGCTGTTTTGCCTTGTCCACTGGTCATCTAAAATAACTTCTCCGCCCATTCCATTGTAGTCCGTACATATATGTATGCAATTGGTACACTATTTCTTGGACCTTCCTATCCAGTTCTTCTTCAAATACTACTACAATTTTGTCAATTTTACTATTCAACCCATGCTAAGAAAATGAATAAAACTGAATCCTTGTCTACGCCTTTAACTTTTCAAATGGAAAATTTACAATTTTATACTATGGTCCCAATAAATAATACGGAGTACTCCATAATAAATAAAAATGTTAGATTGGGAGCACGGTACATACTTCAGGGGTTGATGAGTGGATCTAGAAGTCCATGTAGGATTGAATTGAAATAATAATAAATATTAGACTTAAACAATAATAATACCCCCTAGCTAAATGATTAAAATGAAAAGTTCACTCTACAAAATTCAAGAAAAATATTAGTTTTTTTTACACCAGAAAAAATATTAGGTTAGCTCAAGGTTCAGCCCATAGTGTAGATCATCCTGCGAGACTCTAATTTCCCGGGCATTTTGCTTCGATTTTATACGAACAAATTTCTTTCAAAGATTATTTAATTTTTAAGTTTTCTTTTTTATATTTTATAACCATTGTAAAACTGATTTTTACTTTTCCCTACATGACTAGTTTTATCCAGGTTTTTTGTATTACTTTCTTTCACTCTTCTTAAAATATTGTTTCACTTATTTTAGTTATTTAAAACTTTGTCTAACATCCAAAAAAAAACTTTGTCTAACTTTTTAACCCGCTAACTTTATTTTCTTCAGTTTTGTTTTATTTCTTTGTGCATTCTTGTACTTTTCTAAGTTTCTTCGTGTTTTATTTCTTCTTTTTTATATTTTTTCTCGTTATATTGCATGAAATCTTCATTTACCCTAGAATCGTTCCATTCACACTAGAATGGAGCTTCATTTATAATTTCACAACTTCTATACGAACCCAATGGAACTTTCTGAAGTATAGTCTTTTCATAAAATAATAAATAAATAACGTTACAAATGAGTGGTTTAAGTAGATCACTTATTGTTGATAACCTAATTTTTTTTGTTTAATAGGGTTGTCGTTTTATTTAGACCGGCCGTGCATATGTTTCTTTGTGACTGCAATTCTAGTCTAGGAGCTAGGTAGTTTACTCGCTGCTTGGTAGCTACTCGGTCAAGGGCCGAGTAGCGAGTAGGACTGATTACTCGGGATTGCTCGGTGATTACTCGACCTAGTATTAATTAAATATAAAAAATATATTTAAATATAGTAGTCTTAAAGTATAGTAATAAAATTGTCTTAAAATGTTTAGAAGTTAATAAAAGGATAGAAATTGTCTTAAAATGCATATAATATGTATACAATACCAGAATACAACTTGAAGAAGCACGAGCAGTGGAAGAAAGGCAAATATTTTTTGCAGTTTTTTGGCACCTATTCTTATTCCAATTGAAGAACTTCAAAGGAACTTCAAAGTGGCACCTACCGAACAACGATTTCTCAAATGTAGTTCCCTAAATGAAAATTGCAGCTCACCCAAGACCAAACATGATGTTTTTTTTGCTAAGCTATATTTTTCACCTTTTCAATTAAGAGATTTTATTTTAGCATTCAGCAACTCAGGTCTCAGGGGTACATTCAATACATTCACTTTAGTTGGCCAAAGACTTGAAAATGTACAATGAAAACACCAGGTTAAGAAGCACAAGCAAGCGAAGAACAATCCAAAATTCTTAGAGTTTATTACAGTATACAGAGAAGAATATAATAGGCAACATGAGGGAGAATAAAAACAACACAGAGGATAATCTCAATTTAATTTTTTTCCAAGCGGAGGTAATGTTTTTTTTAAATACCGAGTACTCCCGAGTAAATCGCCTTTTTGACCCACTGACCGAGTACTCGACGAGTAATGTGCTACTCTGCAAGGTCATAGACCGAGTAGGGAGTACTCACCGAGTACTCGCTGAGTAAATAACCCAGTCTAGGAGTATGATGATTACTAGGCATAAATAAATCCGATATTCATACCCGCACGGGTAGCTCAGTTAGTCGAGTGGTGAGAGATTTGGATCAATGGACCAAGGTTTGAATCCCCACAGTCAGGGGCGGATCTACCAAGCATGCTGTGGGGGCAGCTGCCCCCGATAAAATCCTACTAAGCATGCTATGGGAGCAACACGAATCGGTAACCATGTAGTGGACTTGACACAGCCAAACCTATTTTCATAGATCCAATCATACCCAATGACATAAAGAGAGGCAAAAAAACTCAAACTTGAGTTTTTTAATTGAAATGATTTGTTCTAGACTCTCACTATTCAGTCATCAAACCATGTGCATCTAATCTTTCGGAAAACTCAGAATGTTTAGTCGGTTTTTTTTACTTCTTAGCATTTGATATGTATATATTGTGTGATAAATAAAATATTTTAAAAAAAATTGATGCAGAAGCCCACAACAAAATTGCGAACCAAATGTGAAGAACAAGAACGAAGTGATTGGAATCTCAGCCATCTATGGTTGCCATCGGAGTTGTCAAGCAATTAATCAAAGAAACTGGCTTTATAGATGCTTCAAATTTGTGGAGGCTGTCTTTCCTGGATGTACGTTGAATCCAAACTAATTTGTTGCACTATGTCTGAAGTTTTTTTTTGCATAGCTCATGTTTTTGTCATTGTTCCACTTAAATTAAAGCTTAGGCCAAGTTTTGTATTTGTAGAGGGTTTTGGTTTGGTCACCCCTCTTCTATATCTTATTTTTTTTATTTAATAAAATTTCAATATTTCAATAGAAAAACTATGACAACTTTATTGTTTACATTGCAATTCAATGATTAGATACTATATCTTGAAATCTTGAATTGTCACTTTAAGTTATTTTTTGTTGACAATATGTGATTTTGTCATTTATTGTCTCGAGTATAGATGACAAAATTCATATATAAGTGACAAAAAAATAGCTTAAATGTGACGCATTAGGTGTCACTAAAGGTGATAAGTAATTGTTACGATTAACAAAAGCGTCATAAAAATAAGTATAACGATGACAATATGCAATTTCGTCATTTATTGTCTAAAGAATAGGTGACGAAATTCATACATAAGTGACAAGAAAATCAACTTAAAAGTGACACATTAGGCGTCACTAAAATTGATCAATAATAGTTACGATGAACTAAATTGTCATAAAAAATAACTATATAGTGACGAATTTAAAAATCGTCAATTACTCCCTCAGTCCCAAATTGTATGATACATTTACTATTCACTTGGTCAACATAAATCAATCTTAATCTTTTATTTTATATATCAAAAGTTTATGAAATTTGAATTATTTTTTGCAGGTTTTGTAGCGGTTTTAATGTAGTTTATGAATATGTAAATTTTATTTTCTAGAACTAATTTGAGTGTTGTCAGGGATCAATTTGCTTTATCATCAGTCAAACATCGTAAACCGTAATGTATCTTACAAATTGGGACGGAGGGAGTATATCTTTTGCCACGGAGCTACAGTGACGATCACTGTGACACTCGTAATTCGTCACGGAAAAGTTTTAGTGACGAAAAATGAACCTTATGTGATGAATTTCCTCGTCATATTTTGTCAAAATTCTTGTAGTGAAACAAACTGTCAAACCCAACAACAAAAATGAACGCAAGAAAACAAATAACAAACAGATAAAAACTACAAGAAAAACGTTCACGAATTCTAGCACCTCGTGCATCCCATGGTGGTGGTTCAGGAGGAGGTCGTACCACTGGTACCATGCTAATTGATACTCCATGACATTTGGCTGCCAAAGACCATGCATCAATCCTCCGTCCCTGCGTAACCAAACTCATCCCTGCTCCGTGCGACCAGAGTAAACGGATAGGCGGCACCGATCTTCTCCAACGACGACAGCAACGCCGCATCCTCGAACCTTGACCACAACGCCGATCTCCTCGATCCATGACAGCAAATCTGCCCTCCTCCACCAATCTCTGCCCTCCACGTCTGACCTGGACTCCAGTCGAGCACCAGCGACCAAGGGATAACAAAGCCGATCTTCGACAAAGTCGAAATCGGAAAAAGGCTCCAGCTGTAACACCGTCCCCAAGTATATTTACTTTTATGTAAATTATGTATTGAACCTTATGAAATGGTTAATGAATTTACGAGGTTGTAATTTTTTGGTTAAATTAATTCTTTTGCGTGAATAGTAAATTGCACGTGGGACCCACACCGGGGGCGGGGACCACCCGATATTCCCGAGACCACATATTTTATTCATCTTGGTATAGATAATAGTTATATGTTGGTGGACATTCATGTTGGGCCATAAGAAAGGCATTGGGTTGACCGATTGGTCAAACAGGGCACAATTACCGGTATTGGTAATTTATCAGAGAACAGCCCGAAATGGATTTCGGAGACTTCTAAATTAAAGTTGGGGAATGTATAATCATTCTAAAGGCCCATTATGATGGGAAGTAAGTGTTATATTTTATTTGATCCGATAAAATAAAATATAATTAAAACAGTCCGAGAAATACAACATTCGGGGCCAAATGTGCAATTCGGGACACATTGGGATGACTTCCCACATAAGTGGGGGCCACCCCACGTTTTTTGTGCTGAACATTTGATTTGGGGGCTGTAGAGCATGGGATGGATGTAAGAATAGATGGGTGAGACATGGTTGGCAACCAAAGGGACCCTCCCATCACTCATTGGCACAATTGGGACAAAACAACTCCCAACCCTTTTCTCCCTAGCAATGGTTTCGGCCAAGCACAAGGAAGGGAGAGAAGAAGGTCTGCAGCACCATTACTCCATATCCAATTTCGAGCTCAAGGAGACAAGGTTCAAGAAAGAAGATTAAAGAGGGAAAAAAGTGAGTAAAAGCTTGGATAATTAAGGTAATGACTCCATAGTAACTTTTTCTCCTCTCTTTGAACTTCATATGACTTTTATATCATATGAAGTACCCCTAGTATTGTTCTACATGTTATAAATGTGGGAAGAGGGGTTGGAAGGTGGTTCTAAGTCCAAGAACGGACTTAGAAACCAAGGAGACCGGTTCGTCAGAAAATAGCCTTTTAGTGGTTATTGGTATTGATATGGGTTTTGTGATGATAAAACCTTGTTAGGCACTTGTGTAAGGTGATTCAAGAGCTTTCACGAAGTTGAAAGAGTCGCCAGAGTTATCGCCGGAGCTCGTCAAAGTTCACCGGAGTTTCGCCGGAGTTCAACCGAGAAGGGTAGAACGTCATAGCGCTAATTCGAGGTGAGTGGACGGCTTAATGTCTTATAACTCTTGGGTTAATTATGAGATTACCTAAGTAAATGTTATATGTGTTCATAATGATGTTTAAAAGATGCTTAAACATGTGATTAGTCAAAGTGATTAGGCTTATATGAATGATCCATTGATATCATAAATGAAGAATGATATGAAAATGTTTATAAAAACATATATGATGTTTTAAAGGATAAAATGAGAATAAAATGCTTGGTTATAACTTAATACATATTGGGATTAAGTTTGACACAAATCGGGTTTGAAATGGCGAGTCAACGAAAATGTTGACTAGGTTGCCCAGGGGGTAACCGGCGCCGGTTATAGGCAAAACCGGCGCCGGTTATGGTTCGGCAAGGCTGGTTTAATTAATTTAATTAATAACCGGTGCCGGTTTGGTGCTGTTTTGCCTATATGTTGATTTTTAATGCATGAATTGCATGGATGATTATGCTTAGGCCTTAAGACTTGGTTTAGTCTTGATTATTGATTATGATATAGACCTTATCTAGGATGATATGTGGTAGATCATAAGTTGGGTGGAGTACCCAGGGATCGGGCGGTTATCTTCAAAACTCGGTTATAGGGTGGAGTACCCAAGGATCAGGCGGTTATCCTCAAAACTCTGTTATAGGGTGGAGTACCCAGGGATCGGGCGGTTATCTTGAAAACTCGGTTATAGGGTGGAGTACCCAGGGATCAGGCGGTTATCCTCAAAACTCGGTTATAGGGTGGAGTACCCAGGGATCAGGCGATTATCCTCAAAACTCGGTTATAGGGTGGAGTACTCAAGGATCGGGCGGTTATCCTCAAAACTCGGTTATATAGGGTGGAGTACCCAAGGATCGGGCATGTATCCTCAAAACTCATAGATTATTATTAAATTATTGTTTGGTAATTTAGGACCGGGCGGTGTCCTCATGTTAAGATGATTTGAACTAGGAGGAGTTCTATACACTCATAGGTATATGAGTGGGTTGGGGTTTAAGTCAAGGATATTGACTATACTGTTTTCCCAAATAAACAATGACCTACAGGTCGGGTATTTCCAAGTATATATATATATATGTGTGTGTGTGTGTGTGTGTGTGTGTGTGTGTGTGTATATTTATGAAATATGTATATATATATGTATACTGATACATATTTCATAACTTGGGGGAAAGAACTATATGTATATGTATCACCCTATGTTTGGGTCTTATACTTGAAACGTTAGTTATTCTACATTAGCCTGCCACTCGCTCGGTACTTGTACTGACCCCTTCGGAGGGGCCCACCATTTCAGGTTGAAGCTCGAGCTTGCTATTCTCACCTTGCTTGGTGAAGTAATCTAAAGGGGGACGTGGTTCGTGCTTCCTTTACCGTTTTAAACTATAAACTATACTCATGGATATTTTGTAATAAGTACATCTATTTTGGGCCTGCGAGTCCACGTTTTGGCCATGTGTGGCCCATGATTGAATATTGAATATTTACGCTATTTGTTCAATCCAAATATGTGATGTTGTTATGTATGTTTACTTACTGAGTATGGTATGGACTATGTTCATGGACGCCTTGTATGATTAAGTCACGTTGACTTGCGAATGACGTCATTTAGTCATACGACGGTTGTACACGCGCTTAGATGCGATCTGGGGCGTGACACCAGCGGCTGACATAGTCAAAGCCCTAGAGAGAAAAACTCGTGATCGCTCTACCTTAGCCAAAAGCAGACCACTGCTATGCGAACAGATATGCGAACAAGAACAGCCGAACTTCGATCAATATGATCGAATTCGAAAAAAAACCTTAATTTCTTATATCTCTAAGAAATGTCATTTAATACGGAGCAAGTAAAAATCATAATTGTAAACTACTCGTTATATGTTATTGTGGATATATAGTTAAATAAAATGTATTGACGTATTAAAACTTTAATGTATTTACGGTTCTCTTTTCTCTCTCTAGAGAGAGGAACCCTAGCTGTCTTCTCCCCTCTTTGTAGGGGTTAGATTTTCCGCCTCCCCTATCAGTATGGGGTTGGAGCGACAGTTTATCCTGAGTTTCAGTGTTCTAACGCTTGTGATTTCAACTACAGCGGAGGTGATAGCATCGACGGATGAACGAGATGCGGTTGAGAGTTTGTATTAAGGCAGGATCATGAAGTCTTGGTCGACCATTCCGACGGTGGTGGAGTTGGTATTCACCCATATCGTAAGAGCTCGTCCTCCCCCGGAACCACCTCCATACCAGGAAGAGTTTTGCAGAAAGATTTTATTTCATTATGATTTTCTCTTTAGTATCACTTGTTTCTGTTGTAGTCCGAGTAGATTTGGTTTGAACGTTTGGATTGTTGGAGTTCTTTTGATAGACAGGGTTTCGATTCCGGTCATTTTAGGCCTAAATTTGCCCGTTTCAGGTTTAGCGAGTCATGTTGCTTTGTATGAGGTGACTATTTGTAAGTCTACTCGTAGGGTTCACGATTGGATTTGTAAATTTTGTCTGGACGTTCTCTTGTATGTGTTTTAGATTTTAATATAACGGCCGCTCTTTTACGATAAAAAAATGAATTTCTTCCAAAAGATGAAAACTTGGTATTTTGTTCGAAATCTTGCCATTGTAACAATACAATTATATTTTATTAATAACGTTATCTTTATTCTTTTCTTGTACTGTAGAACTACTTCCGTCCCACAAACGTTGGAATGTGAGTAGGTAATTTGGTGAATTCATTATAAAACATTTGAGTTCATGGGGTTCATATTGATAAATTAAGAATAAATTAACAATGATTTAGGATGTTATTACATTGTGACTTATTTAACTAGACCAGATTTTAGCATAACAAACGAGGCCATATCAGACTTCTGCAGTTATTAAATACTCAGAGATTGGACATATATCATATCAGACTAATTCAGACAAATCAGATCAGACTTAAACATACCAAATAAATTCAGTCCAAGTAAAAACATCGTTAGAATCGCACAAAGCTTACTAAATTTGATAATCTTAGTGAGACGGATCGAAAAGAAAAGATATGACAATCTTAGCGGGGTGGAGGGACCGGATGGAGGTCACAGAACCTGAAATAAGGATGAGCCTCTGATGCGCATGGGTGTATGGGCCTACTAGTAGCCACTTACTGACTGAGTCACCATGACTAACCTTCCCACCATCCTGTCAGGTCGGAGTGGGGCCTCCTGGGGTGGGAGATTCCACCTTTTTGGATCAATAAATCCGATATTCATTTTAAATGGGATGTGGACTTGAACATGTACGAGTATCGAAAATCTTTTAAAAGTTATCGTAAAGTCTAGGCGAGAATTGGATTAGGGAGAATGTATCTGGATCCATTGCCTATATAATCATGTCATACACTTGCACTGTTGCACATTCCCTCCCGCTGGAGATCCAGGAAATCCAAATTCAAAAAACATACAACCGGGTATTCTTTTTTTGCCTATAAACTTAAATATCCACACTATATATGGGTTAATTATCAAAATAGGATTAAAAGCTTGTTAGTTTGCACAAATAGGACAAAAAAGTAAACTATGTTTTGATAGGACTAATTAAGTGTGTATTGGACAAATATACCCTTGTTGCTATTGAAATGTTTCAATTCATAGTAAAATAATAAAAAATTAATAAAAATATTTAAATAATAGTAATTTAATTTCTTAAAAAAATTAAAAAAAGATTAAAAAAAAAAATCACCGCTGCCTCTGCCGCCCCAGCACCACCACCTCTAGTCATCAGAGGAAAAAATGCCACATTCATTATGAACGCCATATTTATGGCAGAAAACAATGAAAATATGTTGGCATTATCAAAGAGCAATATGCCATTTTTTTGGCATTTTAAAAAATGGCAGTTTTTTTTTTAGAAAAATGACATTAATTAATTACACCGGTCGAAGGTGGTGGTGCAGGGAGGCAGTACCACCACCTCCGGTCACCGGGGGAAAAAATTCCACTTGCATTAGGAATGCCATATTTATGGCAGAAATAATGAAAATGTTGGCATTCTCAAAGAGTAATATGTCATTTTTTTGGCATTTTAAAAAAATGGCATTTCTTACACCGGTCGGAGGTGGTGGTGCTGTGAGGTAGTACAGGCGGTGGGAAAGACATCCGTTTTTTAAATTTGTTTTATGGAGTTTTACTATTTTTCATTAATTTTTTTTATAAATATTTTATTAATTTTTAGTAATTATTTTTTACGATTTTTTTGAAATTGTTTCGAATTTATTATGAATTAAACATTTAATTATGACTTTTGACTATCTTTTACTCATATTTAAAGGAAGGGTAAGAATGGAATGAAAAAATAGGTATGTTTCCAATAGGACTAATATGGTCCTATTTAGGCTATTTTGGAATAAAAACCTAGCAAATCCTATTTTAAATTTTTGTCATAGTTTTAGTCCTATTTGGAGTAAATTATATATATATATATATATATATATATATATATATATATATATATTATAATACCTCAGGAGCTAATGAAACTATTTTAGTAAAATTTAATTGTCTCAACTCCCGGGGGATTGGACCAAAAATTCTGGTCCCTTTTGGATTTCCTTCTTTATCAATAACAACTGCGGCATTATCATCATATCGTATTATTATCCCGTTGCCGCGTTTTAGTTCTTTACAGGTACGCACGATTACGGCTCTAACGACTTCAGATCTTTGTATATATATATATATATATATATATAGGGAAAATAATTTTCACTTAGTCCGTATTAAATAGGAGTAAATAGCCCCAATTTTAGATTTTCACCAATTCCCTCACATTAACTGCAACGAGACCAATGCTTTTTACTGTTTTGTCTTTTCCTTAATGGCACGTATAAAACATGCAAATAGCAAAATGACAATGTTTGTCTGATCGGTTTAAGGCTAATTATTGAGATTCAATTATCAAGCCGCATGTAATTGAAGAAATTGAATTGAAGAAGAACTCGATCAAAACTGGGGAGAGTTGGTCGTAGTGAACATTAGAGTTTACAAGTATTGAGAATAATGAATGACTGCTTTACAACAATAGCTTTAGTATCTATATTCTATATATACTACCTATTAATATAAGGTTATTAAAATAACCACATACGAAACGATATTTATATTAAGGTCCTATAAATGAGAAATGATTTCTATAAAGTTCAACAGATTTATTCTTGATACGCTCCCTCAAGATAAGCGTGGATATCAATGCGTTCATCTTGGCTGCAAACTTGCTGAAAAGAGGATTCCCAAGAGCCTTTGTGTAAATATCTGCAAGTTGAAAGTCACTTTTAATATGTATAAGATTTATTAATCTTGCTTCTATTTTTCTCTTATTAGATGACAATCTAACTCAATATGCTTAGTTCTTTGATGCTGAATAGGATTATAGGCAATCATTTCATTTTCATTTACCCCAGTGCCGCAAAGGCTCCCACCTACGGTGGGGTAAGGGGGGTCGGATGTACGCAGTCTTACCCCTGTACTAAAGCACAAAGAGACTGTTTCTGGATGACCCGTAGTGAAAATCATGTCCAAAATTGCATGCACTGACGGCTGCTTCATAACAAAGAAGCGCAGACAGTTTAGTCAGTCATTATGCTTTATTCTATCATATTCTGAAGCCAAAAAATAATGAATCTTTGGCTCTATTGCAAATGATGGAAATGATTATTATCAGTATAAATAATGATTGGTAAATGATTCTCAATTTTTAAGTCATTTAAGATAAAAGAAATCCACCGAGCTTCACAAACTGCATTTGCAACGGCTCTAAGCTATATTCTGCTTCAGTTGATGATCTATTGACATCAGCCTGTTTTTTAGATCTCCAGGAAATCTGTCAAGCTTAGTGCCTGAATCGACTCCTCTCCAATTGATCCCACTCTATATCGCAGTCTTATAGGAGCTCTACTATATATGACCTTCATTCGTCCTAACATCTCTTGGAGCGTGTAGCAAGTGTGCCTATTTATGCATGATTGACTAGAACCTCACTTTTAAGCACTGAAGCGGATTTTACATTACTTACCACACATAGTTGATCATAGCTAGACTGTAGAGTCATTACTTACTCTGATGCTGATTGGACTGGTTGCCCTGATTCTCGACCTCCATATCTGGATTCTGTGTTTTCCTTGGTGACAATCTAATCTCTCGATCTTATAAACATTAGCCTATTGTCTCCCGCTCAGAGCTGAAGCTAAATATAGAGGGGTTGTTAATGTTGTTCCAGAGTCCTTGTTGCTGGCAATCTCATTCTCAACCTTCATCTACCTCTTCGGCGTGCTATTATCGTCTACTGTACTAACATCATTGCAGTATATCTATCTAGCCACTCCATTCAACAACAACGCACATTGAGATTGACATCCACTTTGATCGAGAACACACGAGTTCACTTGGGAGACATTTGAATTGGGTTCTTTATATTCCTCCCAATTATCAATATGCCAACACCTTCACTAAAAGACTTCCTCATCACTTATTTTTCCATTTCGTGATCCTCTCAACATTCATATTTCTCCTGTTACGATTAAGGGGGTGTAGTAGCCTACCATATTTAGATGTGATCTGTAGTAATATTTAGATGATTCGTAACAAATTGTTGATTTGTATATCCCACAAAATCCTCTCCTAATTAATCTCCTTACTTTTGATACTCGTACCATTCTTGTATAAATTGACATAATGTAAAGGCCGGGGTTTAATTTTAACAAATATACGGCTGAAGTAAAAGTGATGGATAAAAAGTGATTTTTTATACTTTAGTGACTATTTTAGTACTTTAGTGACTATAGCAATATTTGTGTCCATAAATTATACTACCTTCATCCCACTTACATTGGAACAAGAGAGAGTGATGTGATTATTTTTTTTATGGGAAAATTTCATATAGATTAATTCAAACAATCATTTGCCAATTCAGTTACAATGCAATCGGGCACTGTAGTATAGGTGTCCTTACAACTTGGCAAGAAAACAACCGCTCTAGCTAGACAAGAGCAACACGATTCACATATCATCTACAAAAGTTAACACCCTGTCTACAAAAGTTAACACTAAAACTTGTATTTGTGTTAGGTTTAATATTTTCTTAATATCATCAAGAATAATATCACAATACGACAAACCCGACTTTCCTTGAATGCCGGTCACTACTAATAAGGCATCAGTCTCGATAGTAGTTTGTGTCTAGCCATTTTCCTTCGCCAAAACAATGCTCCAATAATATTTAAGGAAAAAGCTCGTAACTAACATAGAGAATTTTGGCTAAGCTTAGGATATTTTTACTTGGACAGTAATCTATCCCAGACCAGACTAGACCAAATCAAACCAGATCAGACCAGACTTGGATAATTATAAAAATACAAAGAGACTAAACGTTATCACACTAGATCGAACCAATTCAGACCAGACCATGTCAGACCAGAAAATTATTATTAATCGGGAGAAAAAAAAAATCCTTATTTTGGTGACCATGCATGTAATTTGAAAAGCAAAACACCATTATGAGGACCACCCCGACACCCGGTACTTCATTACTTTTTGACAAAGAGAATCTGGGAGCTGAGTCATGACTATACGAAAATAAGTAACTACTTTCAACTTTCGTTCGATCTTGTAATCAAAATGCGAGTCTAATTATTACTTTCGAAAGCATATATCTATACATATGTATTTACAATAATACAATAATAAATTTTAACTTTATACGCCGGAAGTAAAACAAATGATACTGTGATCAATCATGCTTTTATGTGGGTTTGATTCTTCACGAGTGGGTTAAAAAGGAGCAAGAAAATCACAATTCAAAAAGCTATGCCAAAGAGCATTTACAAATTTTAACTCAAATTTATAAATGGGAAAAGGGGCAAATAAGCCCACGTACTAACCAAAAAGGTCAAATAAGACCTTATTTATGAGGTTCTATCCGGCCTTCGCCATTTGGGGTGGTTTTAGGTGTAATTTTTTAATAATTTTTTTTACCATCTTATTCATTAAGTCTAGTTTACTCATACCAAATTTCAGCTAACAATTCAATCAGGAAGGCATTCAAATGAATTCTTGAAGATAACTGCGCTTTTAACTGTGCAGTTATCTTTAAGAAGTCATTTGAATGCCTTCCCGATTCAAGTTTTAGCTAAAATTTGGTATGCATAAACTAGATTTAATGAATAAGATGCTCAAAAACATTCATTAAAAAATTCCACCGAGAACCATTCCAAATGGCGACGGCCGGACATATCCTCTTAAATAAGGCTTTATTTGACCTTTTTTTTGCTTAGTATGTGGCTTTATTTGCCCCTTTTCTCTTTATAAATTATACGTACTACTATATATAATTTATAAATTATACTACGACGATTGTTCCTGCCGCCTTTATGTGTTTTATAACTCTCCAAATCTTATTTATTCTTATCTAATTTATTTAAGTTCAATCTATTTAATTAAGTTTGATCTGGTTTAATTTGGTCTGACCCAAGACTGAAAACCATCCAAATAAAAACATCCTGACTGACCGTGATAAATGGTCTTGTAGATCTACTAAGCTACTACTATCTAATTACTTAGTTGTAAAGAAATTGAAAGTTACACGCTAATTACATTGGTGTATTTGATAAAAGTAGTTTTTTGTAATTTACTAAATCTCCCGTAAACAAATGAACATAAAGTCTTAAATAAGTCTTTAAAAGTCCAACACTTTTTGAAAATAATTGTAATTTTATAAACTATTTCGAATTGAGTAGCACACAATGAATAAATTAAAAATCATTATATATTTTGAAAGATTCCCTTTAAGTTTGAAATCAATACCAATAAAATCTTTCACAATCTATAAAAGTCTAAATTAGATACATCTATTAAGATTTCTACAGGTTCCTATTCGATTTAACAACGTTTATGAAAACTTTAGGCAAATCGGTGGGCGTAGCTCAACTCGTAGAGAGAGGGTGTCAAGAGAGGTAAGTCTTAGGTTCGAATCCGACAATTGTGATGATGATTACTATGCCTAAAAATGTATAGGGCCTCTGCAAGTATCAACGTCAGAACATCACTCTTTATATGTCAGTTTATGATTATAGTCCAATTTACAATCTCGGAACTAGATTATCCAGTCGGTGTTGGGGGGCGAATGTGGAGTGCTCCGATCTATGAAAGTATATTTGATCGGAACTGTTCAAATAAATGTGTAAGTATATTATGGTTAAGCCTAGTCTCGTTTCAATTCGTTTGGTTTAATTTGATTTAATCTAGGTTGAAAATTGAGATTAATTGAAGTGAAAACATTACCTTCTAGCATTATCGAGACATCTCTCTTTTTTACAACACAAGTCATAATTGAAAACCAATAATTTGAGCCTCTCTTAATTTTGGTCGGACAAAAGTCTCATTTGCTTCTCTCGGAAGCGACGGCCATGGATACTACTAAGGTATTCTCACATGATAATGATATAATTTATACCTTCATAAATGGCGGCTTTTTATTGGACAGAGTCCCTACCTATGAAGAAATGCGAAAGGTTATTACATTGAACGTACCAAAAGTAAGTTGAACTTTGTAGGGTCAGACGTAATTAATTAATGAAATCAATACCGATCGTGGTCGTTTAATTTATTTACAAAAAAAGATGAGGATGTAAATTGGACTATAATCACAATCTGACAGATAGAGAGTGGGGCTCTGTCCCCGGTACTTACAGAGGCCTTATGCATTTTTCAGCATAGTAACCCCTCATCGTAGTTGCCAGGATTCGAACCCGAGACCTAACCCTTGTGGCACTCCCTCGCTACCAGTTGAGCTACGCCCACCGATTTTTAATTTATTTACAAGAAGTTTAAGATGAAAATGTGAGTTGTAAATTTGCAATTGCAATTATACACGTACCTTCTTTATTAGAGTACGTGTAAAAATGAGGTGAAATAAAAAATACACTACATTGCATTTAATCTTTTTAAGTACACATATCTGTGGTATTAGTGTTAATTAAGTACACTTGTTAGATTAACACGTTAATACAGCTGAGTTGACTAAGAGAATGTTGAGTAAGAAGACTAATGGAATGTATTATTCAATAATTTTATACCTTCTATACAGCCGAGTTACCAAAATGTACTATACTAGCAAATGGTACGTATGACGTACTGTATTATTTTAAGTAATTCTATTCTATATCAATTATATTAAAGTTTCATATAAACAAGCTAAGCTTCGTTCTCCGTCCCATCTTCTAATTCCAATTTCAATTTACACTTACCAAACACCACGCTTTGTACTTGAAGGTTTTGACAATTTTGTATTTTTGGTCAATAGTGTTTAACTTGACCAATGTCTTTGATCTATATATATCACCTATATGCATGTGTAGTAAAAATGACAATCTTAAACAATTTTAGGTCTTTTTAACTACTACGTATTTTTTTATTTTAATTAGATATTATATACTAGGTATACATCATTTTGTGTAAACAATCTCGAAGATCTGAGTTAAACATGCATGTTTCGAAAAAAATCGTAGGCCAACATCTTTTGTAGTGAATTAAAATAGGAGTGGATATTCATTTTTCAGATAAACAAATGGGTGTTTTGTGGGATGGGAGATGAAGAAATGCAAAATAATTAATTTGGGGAAGGACTTCGAAGAAATTTGAATAGGGTAGCTGATCTGATGGATTTACAAGTCTGAAATTTCATAAATTTGAAGAAATAATTAACATAATATATAGAGATTAATTATGCAGCATTTGACTTGTTATTTATTCATTTTTACCTTCCACCAAAAGGGGCCCTAAAAACTCTAAAAGTATCTTTAGGGTTGGTTTGCAACTGCTTTTAAAAAAGCACTTCTCAGCTTTTGGCTTAAAAAAAGCACTTATTTTCCCAAACACTACAACTTTTATTTTTCTCGGCTTTCGCGTCAAAAGTGCTTTTACTTTTTCTATTACACAAAAAGCACTTATTTTACCAAACACTACCCACTTTTACTTTTCAAAATCACTTTTTTCTCAAACACTATCAACTTTTATTTAATCACTTCTCCCCATTTCATTAAAAAAAGCACTTTTTTAAAAGCAGAAGCTGTTGCAAACAGACCCTTAGTTCAGGGGGGAAGAACCAAATGAAAGGAGGGCACCGCTTTTGGGTACGGAGACAGTATGTGGTAAGTAAGTTAATTAATCTCTCATTTTATTTGGAACAATTTGATTCGCCTCTATAAATGCTTGACTAAGGAAATTTAATTAGTTAATTACTAATAAATAAATACGCAGTGTACATTATAGAATTTGATAGTTTAAAAATATGAATTGAGAGTTTTATATCTCTGTCACAAAAAACTTTTCTAGGGTTTTGACAACATTTTATATAAGCAAAAATTGCTTATACACATTCAAGATGACTCTAATAAGTAAGAGTAAATATTGATATTTTCTTGAAATAGAAGTAATAAATAGGAAATATAATGTATAATTCAAGTAGCATACTGAATTAATGCAACACACAAAATCGTCGCTACACAAAAATTACGTGATTTGGCATATCCCTGTCAAATCCTCTTGAACTATGTAATAATCAAAACAAGAAATTTAGTTACTTTCTTGACTGAATTAACTAAAATTCTTCATTACTAAAAATGAACATTTTAATCATTTTTCATATAATTCTTTCTTTATTTTATTAATTCATTAGAGTCTACCAATTCAACGTATATTTCATCGATATGGCTAGATTCAGTCAATTTTTTAATTGATAAGCCGACTCTAAGCCTTTAAGGATGTTTCTACTTGGACTGTAATTTGCTGGTCTGGTCTGGTCAATTTAAGTCTGGTCTGGTCTGGTTTGAACTAGTTTGGTCTGATATGGTGAACGTCTGGCCTCTGTATATTTTATAATTATGTAAGTCAAGCCTGATCTGGTCTGACCTGATTTGTTTAAGTCTGATCAATAACACATTATTGATGTGCAGCATTTGTAAAGTCAATAAAACATCGAGTGATAAAAAAAGATTTTACTTTTGAGGGAAAAATAAAATGTTTCTTTGTAGCTCGGGACTTGCGAGTAGGAGAGGGAAAGATAACGTCAGAGATAAAAGGAAAGCAATGGTGGGGAGGGAGGAGAAAAAAAGATTACTGCAGAGTGAAAGGATATCCTCCCCTCCTTATCCACATGTGTACCCTCCCCTCTCCATCTCTCATCATTTTCTCTTTCTACACTTATTTCTTCAATCCTCACACATGCATGCCTTGTTTTCAAAATTGGATTTTTCTTGATTTTTAACAAGAAAAGCCATTGATACAGCGACATGAATACCGGGTTCTTCATAGTTCAGACCTACCTTTATTTTAGCAAGAATTGATCCCCCCATGTGTTTTCTTTATTATTTTCTATTTTTTAAAAAAAAAATTTAAACCAGAAGAATTGTCTGTTAGGGTGAAGCCAAAGGAGGGGAGGAGGTGAGGATTTCTAGGGGTTTAATACAATCAAGGAATTTATTCCACTCTCTCTAGCTAGTTCTATCATAATTTCCATCTCCTTTGTCCATATTTACAGTCACATACTTTCTTGAACATCTTTTTTCTCAGCTACTTGGATCTATATGATTTGTCATTAGCTAGATCTCACTCTTTCACCACTTTGTTTTGGCACAAAGATCACAACTTTTTTCTACTAGCCTCATATAAAGTCTTGTGCATCATCTGCTTGACTTCTGGTGATGATGAAAGACATGAAGATGATGATTCATCAACCCAACAACTTGCAGACAGCTTTGGATAATCAAGAAAACATGTCTAATGTGACCTCCACTGCATCTGGTGAAGCTAGTGTGTCTTCTACCAATGGAGGAGTAGGATTCTATCCCCAACACTACTTTGCCAACAGTACTGATAACAATAACACTATGGCTACTCAAACCCAACCCCAGCAGCAACTCAAGAGGAAAAGAAACCAACCAGGCAACCCAGGTTTAAATAGTTAAATACCCATCATCTTATTATCTCAAAGATTCAATCTTTTTTCAAGAATTATATGTTTATTTTTACTTTTCTGAGTTGATGATCTGATGGGGTTTTTTTTGTTTAATTTTGGGGAAAAATTTGAAGACCCAGATGCAGAAGTGGTAGCTATGTCACCAAAGAGCCTGATGGCAACAAACAGATTTGTATGTGAAATATGCAACAAAGGGTTTCAGAGGGACCAGAATCTGCAGCTTCACAGGAGAGGGCACAATCTTCCATGGAAGCTGAAGCAAAGAAGCAGCAAAGATATTGTGAGGAAGAAAGTGTATGTCTGCCCAGAAACTAGCTGTGTCCACCATGACCCTTCTCGTGCCCTCGGGGACCTCACTGGTATCAAAAAGCACTTTTCCAGAAAACATGGCGAGAAAAAGTGGAAATGTCCTAAATGTTCTAAACGCTATGCTGTTCAATCTGATTGCAAGGCTCACTCTAAAACCTGTGGAACTAGAGAGTATAGATGCGATTGTGGAACCCTTTTTTCGAGGTATATAAGTATTTTTGAATTGGATTGGATCTATTATCTATATAAATTTATCAGTTTCTTGAAAGATTTCATTTTTATTTTTCATTTGAATTTCAGGAGGGATAGTTTTATCACACATAGAGCTTTCTGTGACGCATTAGCGGAAGAGAGTACTAGAGCCGCCATCGCCGGGAATCACATTTTCCAGCCGCCGCTCCCGGCGGATTTCAGCACAAACCACCATGACCTACCGGGAGCTATGGCGTCTTACTCAATTAAGAAAGAACAGCCCAGCGTGTACAGCAGCATCCCCGGTTTCAACCTCCGCCCGGAGATCCCGCCGTGGCTACTGCCCTGCCCGGCCGGTCCTCCGCCGGAAATCCCATCGTTTTTTCAAGATTTCCAAAACCCTAACGCCGGCGGGCCGGCGTTCCCGGACTTCCACCCCACGGCCATCGGGTCCGCCCAGTTCTCGGCGACGGCGCTGCTGCAGACGGCAGCGCAGATGGGCGCGACCATGACCGGCCAGTGGATGGGGCCCGCGCTCGTGGAGAGTGGGGCCCACGTGGATCACGTGTCTGCTGACCAGCTGCGGCAGAGCAGCCTGGTACCTGATCATTTCGGTCTGAATTTGTCTTCACGCAGAACCGCCGAGGAGCTTTCAGTCAATGGCTGGGGCAGAGCTAGCGTGCCCGCGGGCGCACCCTCCGCTACCAGTGCACCCTCGGGCTCTTTCTTCCAAGACGTTATGAACTGTTTCTCGTCCTCTGACAATAATAACAACACCCCGGCTTTTCAAGATCCGGCGGGGTTCGGCGGCCGTGGCGGCGGCGCTGGTTTCTTGATGGGTAACAGCCCCAAGAAAGAGGGCGGCGGCGGAGACGGCTCCGGCGACGAAGTAACGAAGGATTTCCTGGGTCTCCGACCACTGTCACGTAGTGATATATTCAGCATAACTGATCTAGTAGTTAATACTTCCAGTGATCATCATCATCATGATCATGGTCTTGGTCAAAGTCAAAGGCCATGGCAGCAAACATAATTGCTAGCTAAGCTCTTCTACTTGGTTATAAACAGCATTTGATTTAATTAATTAATTAATTAATTACCCAAGATGCACATGAACATAATTTGTCTTAAATTCCTGTCTTTGTCTCCTCCCTCTTTGATTTGGTATTATGATCGAAACCCTCGTACGTTATATGTGTCAGCAACCCAACTTGCATGCTGTCAGTGGAATATACGACTAAATTTAATCATTATTCCTATATTTATTACGGGGTAATTATTGAATTAAATTAGATACCTATGTGGTTTTGTCCGAATGCTTGTTTTTTGGTGAATAGAAAACCCTAACTTTAATTTTTTGTTGTTCCATAATTGCATTTACTTTATTCGTTGCCAGCTGTGTGTGACAGTGATATTCCTATACAATTGGTATATACGGAGTATCCACCAAAATCTGCAAGCTGAATATTTCTCTTTTTGAAATTCATATACTCTATATAGGGAGTTTTTTTCCGTATTAATGCTAATTAATTAACTATTTACGAAAATAGGGTCGGGTTAAAAGTATTTACGGATATACTGCTGGGCTTAACCCTGGTCGGGGAAAGTCGCCAAACCGTTTGGCGACTTATAAGTCGCCCAACCGGATGGCGACTTATAAGTCGCCCAACGGTTTGGCGACTTACCCGTAAATTAAAAATCCGGGTTAAGCTAAAAAAAAAAAAAAGAAAGGGGCAAAATTGTCTTTTGAAACCCGTTGAATTTTACGACTATCGTGTCCGCAGGTCGCCCCGCGCAGGGGGGGTGCGAATTTTCGACTCTGAACTGAAAGCCGGAATTCTTGTGTGCGCGAGAGCTCCCCTATTCTCCTTCACCTTTTAATTCTAAGAGAGGAGTGGTTCATATTTATAGGCTTCAAACTTCTCAAGGAGTTTAGGTGTGGGAAAGTTAAAGAAGCTCACTTTCCACCTTTGCTTAAAAGTGTACACTTTTCCATCTTTTTTTTTCAAGAGCAAATTTGAGCCACTTCAAACTTCAAAGTCCAAAACTCCAACACCAAAGGTCAACACTACAATCAAAGCTTCCAAGAGTCAACATTGAGATTTAAAAAAAAATCAAGGTTAAGACTATTTTTCTCAAAGTTGTTAACGAAGTCAGCTGCCTTGGTGACATTCTCAATCAAGGGTTATAGACTTTTACATCACAATTCGTATGAGGTGTTTATATGATGGAATGAATAAGAGTGTAGTTGTGGTTCCTTAATCTATTTATACTCCTGTGGTTTGCGTTCCATGATCATAATGTAACAATACTATCTTGGACCTTGATATGAAACAACCAAGCTACATTTCAAGGTCCAAAATCAAGGTACCATCTACCTTGATTTTTTTTTTTTAAATCTCAATGTTGACTCTTGGAAGCTTTGATTGTAGTGTTGACCTTTGGTGTTGGAGTTTTGGACTTTGAAGTTTGAAGTGGCTCAAATTTGCTCTTGAAAAAAAAAAGATGGAAAAGTGTACACTTTTAAGCAAAGGTAGAAAGTGAGCTTCTTTAACTTTCCCACACCTAAACTCCTTGAGAAGTTTGAAGCCTATAAATATGAACCACTCCTCTCTTAGAATTAAAAGGTGAAGGAGAATAGGGGAGCTCTCGCGCGCACAAGAATTCCGGCTTTCAGTTCAGAATCGAAAATTCGCACCCCCCCTGCGCGGGCGACCTGCGGACACGATAGTCGTAAAATTCAACGGGTTTCAAAAGACAATTTTGCCCCTTTCTTTTTTTTTTTTAGCTAATTTACGGGTAAGTCGCCAAACCGTTGGGCGACTTATAAGTCGCCATCCGGTTGGGCGACTTATAAGTCGCCAAACGGTTTGGCGACTTTCCTTCCCCGACCAGGGTTAAGCCCAGCAGTATATCCGTAAATACTTTTAACCCGACCCTATTTTCGTAAATACTTAATTAATTAGCATTAATACGGAAAAAAACTCCTATATAGGACATGGACATTTATTTTAATTTCAGAAAATAATTTGCCTTTGTTGAAGAGAATGATAAAGAAATCAACCGCTTTGGATGTCTTGTGATCACTTATTTTTATTCTCCAAATTGAACCCCAACCCAAAGCCCAACGCGGCAACGTCCCAATCTGACAAAGCATTTGAGAGATTGTAAGTCACGACGACTTAGTGAGTTTAATGGTGATAACTTTGTAACCGTGTGCATCAGAAGTGCAGGCTAATAAAAATAAGTTGCAACATCCACACGGTTGCTGCTAGTTTCGATCTCATGACTCGATCAACTGAGCTATCCGTACGGGTATGATTACCTGGCCCGGCCATATGCAAGTGCAAGTGGTGCTGTTGCACAGAGCCCCATTTAAGGAAGGGCCCCAAAATTTAATCTATTTATTAAACCTAGCTATTAGAGAAAAAAATCAACATTTACGAGACTTTATAAACGGTATTGACTCTTAAGAAGTCGGAAGAATGAACTTGAGTTACGACATCCTCGATTGAATTGATGACTCTTCGAAAGAATGAATTTCTCAAACAATTTCTTCCATATATAAGACTTTCTGGAATCTCTTCTTGAGATCACTTCTATTTTTTTCTCTCATTGGTCCGTCTCTTTTGTCAAATATTTAAGCCTATGAAGCTCTAGCCCTCTGCTCTCCACTTCACTCCCTACGATGGTTTTTTTTGGCGTATGCAAAGTAATTTTTTGATTGTTTACAGACTTAGATATTCAATTAGTAATTTGATTTTAGTTCTCGGATCCCTTCCAAGTTTTTAAATAAATTCAGCTTATACTCTTTTCTGGATGATACTCCGTACTTCTTTTTGTTGGGAAAATAGAAGTCGTTTTTAATTTAATTTTTTCTAAGTGCATTCTTATGTATCTTTAATATTATGGCTACATGTGTTGTGTAGTTTAAGTGCCAACTTATAGCGTCCATTACGCAAACTGAAAAGTTCGTGGTTGAGCATTGTTGGGCTTATCTTTTATGTTTTTCATTTATCTATTTTAATATTCCTCATAGTCTCATACCATTAAAAAAGACTCCATATCACTAAGTGTATGAAAGATATACGAAGTAACAAGGATTAATAATATAGCAAAGTAAGCTCGATCATGATAAGATTTACTCCGTATTTTGATATGGATGAGCCACAATTTTTTGTAACTGTTTTTATATATTTTGGGGCCTCTTTTTTTTTTAATTTTGAACAGGGCCCTTAACAAGCCCGGGCCGGCCCCTGATGATTACATATTTTCAGTATGGAGTGTTTGGTGGTTTCTTCTAAAATATTACTAATAAAAAATGGGAGAAGGTCCAAAATTGAAATCAAGGTTATTTACAAAACTCATATTGGACACTAACCTTCTAAGTAGACCAAATTAACACAAACTTTAAGTTTTTGCATCACATTTGGACACTATTGACGTCAACCTTGAATTAACGGCTTCCTTCCGTCAATTACCAGGTTACGAGCTCCGATTTCTTCTTTGGCGGAATATAACCTTCTTCGCGTACACCGCCATAGCCATTTCTTCCAATCTTCTATGGCTTCTCTGGCAGAATACAACGTTCTTCACACCGCCAACTCTTTTGAAAACCCAAACCCATTTAGGAGCTGCTCTCCCTGGAACCGTCCAGGCTCTCACGATACGTTCTTCATCGTAACCATGAATTGGGATGGTGAATTCTGGGTTTTCTTGTTGTTTTCTAGACTAAATTTATTCCTAATACTATTTACGAGCTTGGATTTTAAGGCAGAAGGATGTATCGAGCCCAGAAACTCACAAAAAACGAACTCAAAATGTGCAAAGATTGATGTTCATGAAGAAATTGATTTTTTCCTATCGATTTGAATCTAACCATTGTTTCTGGAATCCAAGAGCAGTTTGGGGTGCACCATTGCAGATCGAACCCCCCCCCCCACTGGTACGGGTATGATCACCTATTTTTAATTAGTATGTAGTGTTTAGGGATTTTCCTAAATTATTACTAATAAAAATTTATGGACAAAAATGTGATTATATAAGTTACGATGTGTAAGTTTTATAGTCATTATGATGTAATATATAAATACAATTATCGTCACTAAAGTTACTAGGATCACAATTTTTTTCCAATACTTTATATATTCAAAATTATTTTGAAGTTTTTGTCACATCCGAATTCAATTTCTAAACACAAATAAGTTATTTAAGAACTAAGGTAGTACATTTTAACGAAAACATATCATGTAGAAGTTTAGTTTAGTGTATATGATTATATAAAAACCAAAAGCCCGTTTTGAGACTCTTTTTTTGGGTTATCAGACTTATCCGCCAAAATTTTCACCAAAAACGTAATTGTTGATTTCGCACGCTCAATTGTGTAATAATAAGAAAAAGTAAGGTTGAAGTTACTTTTCTGGTTGTATTGACTGAAGTTATTGTGTAGAGAGTCATTTTAACTGTTTTTTCATATAATTTTTTCTTTATTTTATAAATAAAATACATTTTAAATATTACTTTTTCATGAATCGGCAGAATCAGTCAATCCAGCCACTTCAGTCAAAACTTCATTAATTTCAACAGAATCGGTAAATACATGCAATTTAGGTATTACCAAACGGGCTCTAAAATATCTGCAAGCTAGTCATGTTTAAATTGCAGGATACTTGATTTTGAATTTTGATACTTCTTCAACATCAACTAAACCGCGATAAACTAAATTGCTAGCTAGAACAATTGATTTTAAGTCTCTCATTCAAACCCATCACCTTATTAAATTTATTGATTCACTAGTAAAAAACTTTCTTACAATGATACGTTTTTAGTGACACAGTCTTCTATAGTGTCATTTACATACGACATATACTCGATCGCTTCGTATTTTAAAATTTACTATAATAGGCTTTGACACATTTTTTAAGGAGGAAAGGGGTAGGGGTAATAAATAGTGTAAAAAAGGTAGGAGAGATAGAGTAAAAGTATAAAGAGAATATAGATAAATCTCAAAAAGAAAAGTGCAACAAACTTTAAAATATAGAGTGAGTAGTATTAACTAGGTATAAGTATCATTCATATATGTCATAAAAACATCAATACACAGTAACACATAAAAAACGATACTACATAAGAAGTGCAGAATTTTAGCCTTACCAAAATATTCACTTTTCATTTTCCTCCAGAAAATATACTCCCCTAGTTACATCTATCTATTTTTAGTAACCCATGTGCTTTCTTTCCTTAGTCATTCCATTATTTTTTTCATATGATTTACTTGATCCAACAAAATAAACCTCTCACTCTCTACTCTTTCACTAAAGAAACCCATATAGTGAAATCTAG